GAAACCTTTTTCCCCATATTCTCGCTAGCATATATTGTTACTTATATTTTTTTTTAAAGAGAGAGAATTTTAATATTTATTTTTTAGTTTTCAGCGGACACAACATCTTTGTTTCTATGTGGTGCTGAGGATCGAACACGGGCCGCACACATACCGCTTGAGCCACATCCCCAGCCCTGTTACTTATGTTCTTAATAATTGCCATTCTGACTGGAGTTAAATGGAATCTCAGTGTAGTTTTAATTTACATTTCTGTAATTGCTAGAGAAGTTGAACATTTTTTCATATATTTTTTGACCATTTGTATTTCTTCTTCTGTGAAGTGCTGTTCAGTTCTTTAGTCCATTTATATTGATTGGGTTATTTAGGGGTGGGTTTTTTTTTTTTTTTTGGTATTAACTATTTTGAGTTCTTTGTATACCTGGAGGTTAATTTCTCTATCTGAGGTGCATGTGGCAAAGATTTTCTCCCATTTCATAGGCTCTCTGTTCATGTTCTTGATTGTTTCCTTTGCTGTGAAGAAGCATTTTAGTTTGATGACATGGAATATTACTCAGCCATAAAGAATGAAATTATGGTTTTGCCAGTAAATGGATAGAACAGGAAAATCTTATGCTAAATGAAATAAGCCAGTGCAAAAAAAAAAAAGACATACTTCTGTATGTCAGAAGTCCAGGTCTTCTTAACTGGTTTCTCCACTTGTGGTCTCAGAGGCCAAAATCAAGATGTTGACTGGGCTCTTATGTGGATCTTGTAAGGGAGAATCTACCTTGAGGTTCATTCAGGTTGTTGATAGAATTTGGTTTTGTGTAGTTATAGAGCTAAGGTCTGTGTTTTCTTGCTGGCTGTCAGCCAGGAGTCTTCTCAGCTGCAAGAGACCACCCACGTTCCTTGCCCTCCTTCACCATGAAAGCCTGAAATAGTGGGTGAAGTCTTTCTCATGCTTTAAATCTCTCTGACCTTCTCTTCTATATAATTTCTTCTGGGCTCCCACCTGAGAAAATTATCTGCTTTTAAGGCATTATGTAGTTAGATTAAGACCAACCAGGATAATCTTGTTATTCTAAAGACCATAACCTTAATCACATCTGCAAAAATCCTTTAGCCTTGTTTGTATTTTCAGGGATTAGGATGCAGCCTCTTTGTGGAATGATGCTGCCTACCACATCATTACCCACCTTTTTTTTGTTTTTGTTTTTGTTTTGTCTTTGCATCTTATTTGCTTACAAAACCATGATATTTTTCCTTTAAAGTTTTCCACATGAAGATTTTGCTGATTTCATCCCTCTGATATTGTTGTATTAATATATTACCCTATTCTGTATATTGTCTGAAAATTGGTGATTAGATCTATATTGTAGAGGTGTAAGCAGATTCTGGTTCTACTTGGGGGTAAGATTACATCATAGGTGCTAATAGTATGTTCTATCAGCAGTTTGGTTGTCGCTTTGGAATGTTAGAAATATTAATGATCATTGTCCCTTCTATCCTTATATCAATAAGGATTGCAAAATGGTGATATTATAATTTTATCATTCCATCTTCATTTGCTTTCCATCAGCTATTTGATTACTCTAAGGTACAGTGCACATAGCAAGGGCCAATTCAATGTTTCTCTATAATTTCCAGTTTTCAAAGTGAGCTGGCTACCAAAAAGTGACCCATAGAATTTTTGTAGTATCATGATTGGCTCATCAATTTGATAATGAAAAACTTAATCCATTTACAGTTATTGTTCTCATTGATGTTCCAATATTCCCATCTTTGTTCAGTGTGAAGCTCACCAGGTTACTCTTTGGGTTTTGGGTTTTGAGTTCTTTGGACAAGGCTTCAATAACAGTTGATAACTTCCTTGCTTTCCTGTGTATTTTATACTTCATATCTCAGCTATTTCTCCTCTGAGCTGAACTTAGGGTCTTTAAGTATAAAATAGTATTTAAAATATCCTGGTCTAGATACTGAGGGTTGTCATTGCTGCTGGTTTGTTCTTTGTCTCAAGACTTTGTAGTATTCTGAGTCAGACCATACTTCACCTCCCCTACCCACAATAAAATCATCATGAATTTCTACTGATATCTCCAGTTGAAATTCAGAAGTATGGAGTTTTAACTTAGCCTCTCTTTTTTAAGTCTTATTCCTCTTTCTTCTTTCTTCCATGCTTAAAAATTAGCATCTGTTTCCTAGTGGCACTACATTTTTTATTTGCTTTATTTTACAGTATGCACACTAGCATGTTAGAAGCACACAACACAACCATCAATGGTAATTTCTGAGAATAGTTTAATAATTTTTAACATTTTATTTAACATTATCTCCTGCAGTTTATTACTCCATTGTCTTGTCTAGAGATAGGATTCTTTTTTAGAACTGCAGAGTGCTCCATTTTGTTTATTGAATTAGTCTCCTGTCAATGGGAAATTGGTTTGCTTTCATTTTCTTATTATTTCAAATATTGGTCAATAAATAGATATTTATATATTTTTGCCAATGTATCTCTTTAATAGATTTTTTAGACATTATGTTTGTAATCTGTCTAGATCTTGCTAAATTTCCCCTCCATAAGATTGTGACATTTTCATATTTCCTGTTTCCCTACAGCCTATATAAAATTATACACACACACACACACACACACACATAGAATTTTTGTATTTTAAAACTCTAATCCATTTGAAATTTATTTTTTCTTATGTGATACATGGAACTATCTAATTTTTGGTTTTCACATGTTATCAGGTTAATGTAATTTTACTTACTGAAGAATCCATCTTTTCTTCCCTGGTTTAAAATACTACCTTTCTTATATGTGCTAAATTTTCATATTCAAATAATTCCACTGCTCTATATCTCTCTTCATTTTTTCCTATTATTTCTTACCTACACTTGGTTACAGTGGAAATTAGGATTATGTAATGCAGTAAAACCTTTTAGACCTAAAATCCATTGTGTAAATAGTTGATTAACTTCTTTTTTTAATTTGTTTTAATTAGTTACACATGACAGTACAAAGGTCTTGACATATCATACATTTGAATCAGATGGGATATAATTTCTCATTTTTCTGTGATTAACTTTTTTAGTTTAAATGAAGAAAAGAAACTCACTCTTTTACATGTAGCTAAAAGAATGTAAACCTAAGTAGATACTTAAAAATAAATTGTCTAAACTTTTCTTTCTTCAGAGCCTCAATAGGGGTTTGTAGAGAAGCACCTTGGTGTAATTAATGTATGGGGTCATGCTCCATAGTCAGAGTCCTGCCCTTCAGTAGCTGCTTTGTTGTGAGCAAGTTCTTCCTTTCTCCAAGTCATTGTTTCCTCCCTTTTAAAAGGGAGATAATGCATTCTTTCAGGGTTGTTGTGATCATAGAAATGTCAGCATGCCAGCATAGTGCCTGTGCACAAAGGGCACTCAGTGAGCCTCAGTTCTGTTCTTACTCCAAGGGAATATTCACCCATAACTTTACCTTTAGATTTTCTCCAGCTACTCATGAAAGTAAAGATTTTTACACTGAAAAGCTGACTAAATAAAAGGAGCAGATGAGAAATCTAGGTTCTTTTTTCTCCTGTTGCTTGATAGTTGGTACTGCCCTCAGGGGATGGCTGTCTTCCTAGGCCATTTTCACCATGAAACAGGAAAGGTGAGTTCATAGTTACCATAGAAATTGAGATGTTGACTTCTGTGTAGCCTATATAAGTCTAGAAGAAGGGAAGAATTCAGAGGGGTACAGGGCTTTTCTCTTCCCAGAATAGTACTGGTTTTAGCTTTTCAGTTCAAAAGGGAATCTAGCTAAAATAATCTACATCCAGACATTTCCAGGAAACTCTCCTCTTCACAATGATTGCGCTCCTCTACCCAGAAGTTTATGTGATCTGTCCCTAGGAGGGGAAAGTATAATACAATATGTCTCTGCCTAGAATGAAATGGAGAGCCGAACATTTTTCTGGCAAAGTGTGATAATTTATTTTTCAGGATCCCCATATCTGATTCCTTCATAGAATTGTATTTTGCCTCATTTAGTCTAATAATTTTCAAAATTATTTATTTTAGGTTGTAATAAATTGTGTTTAAGAATATGTGTTTTGAAAACTTTTCAAAATTGAAATTGTTTTCAGAGTTAACTTCACTCCTTCCTTTTTTTTTATATACTTTGTTAAAAAAATGTTTTGGTAGTTGTAGATGAACAGCATCCCTTTATTTTGTTTATTTTTCTGTGATGCTAAGGATCAAACCCTGTGCCTAAAACATAGCTAGGCAAGAGCTCTGGCATTGAGCTACAGCCCCAGCCCCTCACTCCTTCCTTTTAAAGTAAACCCTTTGAAAGTATTTTATGCAGCTTTTCATTCAATGTTAGGGTTGTTATTTTATGAAAACACCCAGAAAGGTGCTACATAAATATGATTCAATCAATTTTTATATAATACTAATCAGATTATATTCATATAGAATTTTAAAAAGTGTTTTAAAATACATTTTATTTAATCTTTGCATTAAGAGTATGCTATGTCAGTATTATTTAGCTTAGATTATAGCTGAATAGAAAAAGACTTGAAAAGTTTTGTCCAGCGCAGGGTCTCATAGCCAACCAGCGCTCTAGACTAGAAGTTTTCATTGCATATTATTAGTGTTCTTGTCACAATACTACCACTGAAATAAATTCATAATCAGCCAAAGTGCTAGTTTAGTAATCCATATATATGCAGTTTTCCACTTTTAAGATTGCTTCACATATCCTTTTGAATGAATCCTATACTTCTTTTGCAGTGCTCCTTTTATAATCTTTCAACCTTGCTTAATTTTCTTAGTTAATATATGAATAGGTAAGTAGTCCTTTGAAATGTTCAAATGAGAACTATTTAAACTATTATAGAATAATACTCTGGTTAATTGAAATCTCTTGAGGATAAGTCACACAGACACATGTACACACAAATTTTAAGGCACAAAAGTTGCACTGTTCATTAAGAAAGAACTTAATGCTAAGGTCTGGTTTTATTTTCCAGGTGGCGTTGCATGCTTGTGGAGTGGCAACAGACATGGTGATTGAGCACTGCATCAAAACACGGGCTTCCTTTGTCACATGCCCTTGCTGTTATGGTTTCATTCAGAACACCTCAAAGTTTCATTTTCCAAAAAGGTGAAATTTAGTATTCTACCTTAGACACCAGTGTGCATGCCAGACTTGTTTGATAGGAAGTTGCAGTGAGATTTTACATGCAGTTTATTGACTTTCCACATGGCAAATATTGTTTATAAATTGTACAAGGAAGAAAGGATCTTCTCTGTGTCTGTCTCTAATTTTACCCATGGATCCAGCTCTTGCTGAAATTTAGAAGTAAGTCTATCTCGGTGTCAGCTAACTAGAAGTCTGTCAGTATCAGAATTTCTTTGTGTTTTTCTAAATGAAATTAAACATACCACTTGTAAGATGCAGTGAGGTACAGTGGTTAAGTGTTTAGGACCTGGACACCTGGGTGTCGATACTGTCTCCTTGTCATTGTATAAGTTATTTCATCTCAGACAAATTACTCTCTGCCTGCATTTTCTCATGTATGAAATAAAGGTTATACTGGTAACTATCTCAAAGTTCTTGTGAGAATATGATATATGTAGTAATGTAGGACTTTAGAAGTAGCAGAGAGTAAGCACTCAATAATTGTGAAGTGTTCCTTATAACAGTAGTAGCAGTAATATTTTTAAATAGTAGTGTTGATGATTAAATTTGATATACATTTTTTTATAATCCTTCTAATCCCACATAGGAGGAGACATTTTCATTTTTGCAGCTTTAACCCACCATAGGAGAATCACCTTCTTCATGTTTATGACATTTTCACCCTTTAACATAGAATCCACAATAAAGACTATTGCCTGTGTCTTACTATAGTCTTTCTGCCTCCTAACTGGCCTGATGTTTCAATACATGGCCTGAATGACATGGCATAACCCTTCTTCCTGGGAAATTGTGAGAAACAAAGGAATTTTTCAATGTTTATTACCTCCTGTATATTTGCTCACTACCTTTGAATAATAATAAATTTCACACAGTAAAACACTAAATCTATTTGCTCCTATGAGAAGACGGGAAAAAAAATGGTCGTACTTCTCTAATAATGTTTCTTCCTATGAAAGAAACTCTTTAAAAATTAATAGTATGCTGATAATATGCTTTTATTCTTTTACACAATATTTCAAACTGGCAGTTTTTACTTCAGATAGCATTTTATACTCTTCAGCTACAATATATATTTTTATTTGTAATTTAGTTTATTCAGTGTTCTTAATATTAGAACAGTGATTAATTCCATTTTCTTTTCTATTTCAGTGAACAATTCAAGAAAACTTTATCATACAAGGTAATCTTAATGATCTAGATGTAGATAATGTACTTTTTATCCTCTCTTTATAGTTTTCCATCTCAAATTTCTGAGGGAGTATATCATCTTTAGTTATATGCAAATTACTCATGAGCATCTAATATGTATTGTATCTGGATTAACAAACCCAGATGAACTCTTTTAGTAGTTGGAGATTTGTGAAGGGTCTGATATTTTTAACCTACTTTCAAGTTATTCTGCTGTAACATATTGGTTAAAATGGTGGATGCTGGTAGAAGATATGAAAATCCTGAATCAGAGACAAAAGAGTTGGTTGTTCATAGCAATAACAGTAAACAGAGTACCATCATTTTTACACTGACTCACTGAGGCCTAGTTCCCATAGGGCATCTGGAAATGGGCCAAGGGATACCTGCCCTTTGTTCTAGAGAGAGATTGTATTTTTTTCAAGTTTGTTCACTATAAAAAACATACTTGAAAATATAACCTGGAATAGAGAGAATTTTTTCTATAAAAGGTCAGATAATAAATATTTTAGGTTTTACCAGCCGTAACAAATCTTTCACATATTCTTATACAGGTAAAGCAAACAATAAGAGGATGAATAAGAAAAACTAGGGAGGTGATGGGGTAGGGCACATGCAATGTCACTGGCTGGAAAAGAATAAAATTTCTGAAAAGCAGAGATGTTGCACACAAAAGCAGAAAATCTCTAGCAGCCCCAAAGTTGAGTTTATCTCCTCAAACTCCCACACCCCCAAAAATGCTGCTTGGCCACCAGCCCTGGAAGAACTCAGGTATAAATGCTTTATAGAGAAGCCTTCACTTCCTGGATTCTGTGGCAAGCTAATATCTCAGTGTTTCTTAGTTTCATTTAGCTTCATAAAAATGGGTGGCTTCGTAGGCACAACTAAATGGACTTATTACCCAAATATTTGGAAGCAAATTGGGAAATGTCTTTCTCCTCAATTAAATTTAGCCAGAAACCTTTACTGAGTACCTGCTTTATGCCTTGTTATTTCAGAACTTACCTTTGATTAAAAAGAACAAAGATCCAGGCAAGGTGGCCCACACCTGGAATCCTGCAACTTGGGAAGCTGAGGCATGAAGATCAAATGTTCAAAGCCAGCCTCAGAAACTTAGCAAGGCCCTAAGCAACTTAGTGAGACCCTGTCTCTACATAAAAAAAATATTTTTTAAAAAAAGGGCTGGGGATGTGGTTCAGTGGTTAAGCACCCCTAAGTTCAATTCCTGCTACCAAATAGAAAGAAGAATAATTTTAATAAAATATAGTAAAACCCATCTGAAGTTGCAATTACCTCAATATTACCTTTATATACAGTGAATCTTAGATTACAAACACCATGGGGATAAAGGATGTGCTTTTTCTTGGCTTTTCCTCAAATCATAGAATTCTCAATTATTCTTCTTTCCCTTTGTTGATGGCAGTTAGTTTGTGGAATTTTAATTAATGTTATTCATTTGACTTACTTTATTAGTTTCCTACCCTTTGCCATTAAATTCATAGTAAGTATTAAAATGTTTTTTAAATACATAAAAGTTGAGACAAAGATATCCCTGTAGAAAGGAAAAAAAAAAAACCTGCAACATTGCCAGTCATTTCACTTTTCTTATTTAAAACCAGAGGCTTCAAATTTAATGTACAAATACTAAGAAGAGGGGCTGGGAATGTGGCTCAGCTGTAGAGTGCTTGCTTAGCATTGTGAGGCCCTGAAGTCAATCCTTAGTGGGTGGAAGGAAGGAAGGGAGGGAGGGAGGGAGGAAGGAAGGAAGGAAGGAAGGAAGGAAGGAAGGAAGGAAGGAAGGAAGGAACGAACGAACGAACGAACGAACTTCTTAGCCTTTCTTCAAAGAAAAAAAAAACAAGAAGATAAATGTTGAATATGAATTAAACCTGTTTGTTGAGCTGGAAGATCATTAACATTTTTGGGAACTCAAGGTGTTCTAAATGAACAGCTCATAGGAGCATTATATTTATTTTGAGTTTGCTTAGTCACTCACCTTTGGCTACGTGCAGATTTAAAAGCACTGTGCAAACTCATTCACTCTGTCTCTTTAGGGGCTGCCTTCTATTAATTCAGTCATTCCTAAAATTGTTAAGCAGAAAGTAATAACGTGAGCTGGCCCATTACGTCAGATCTTCCTAATGGTTTGTCTTTGAGAGAGAGATCTACTCTGCAGCCTTGTGGAGTGAGAGTAGAGAGAGGGAGCCAGGCTCCTGTCCTCTAAAGTGACTGGGTGAAAGTAAGAGTCAAGAAAAGCCAGGGAGTAGCTAGCATGCTGCTGGCACTCCTAGAGTGCTGCAATTTGAGATCTGCATGACTTCCTTTTCCTCTGGTAGTATGAGAAGCCACAGAGCACGCCTTCTTGGAATCACAATTCAAAAGATTCAAATAAAATTTATAAAGGAAAAGTATAAGTGAATTGTTGGTCTTTTAATTTAATACATTGTAATTACAAAATGTAACTATTTCATATTTTGATTAAAAGCAACTTGACAAAATTGTCTTGAAGATTTTCTGTATATCTCTTCTTAAGAACTACATCTGGGGGCTGGGATTATGGATCGGTAGAGCCTGACCTATGTGAGGCACTGAGTTTGATCCTCAGCACCACATAAAAATAAATAAAAATAAAAGAAAGGTATTGTGTACATCAACTAAAAAATTTTTAAAAAAGAACTACAGCTGAAGAGCAGTTTACATGAAAAGAAGAAGTTATAAAGTAACATATTCACAGAGTTGACTTTTTTTGAAAGTACCATTTTGTGCAGTACTTTATTTAATTAAACAATTTTGAACTCCAGAAAAAATTAGGTAGTTTTTGTTTGTTTTTTTTTTATAACTTTGAAGCAAAAGATTAAAATAAACTCATATTCTATTGGTTTTTCTTTTAGGAACATATGATTCTTTGCCGATTTGCAGATCAGACAGCTGTCCAGCTTCCACCCCAAAGAAGGCTCATAGGTATGTATTTTAATACAACAGCTGTTGAGTAGGTTATTCACAGTATGCCTAGGAATTAATGGATAGATTCCATATGGGAAAAACTAGTCCATTTATCAATAAGAAACTAAAGTTTGTTCTTCTCAAGAAACTTAATCTATATCAAAAGGGTTTTGAAACAACTAGCATTTTATCCTGTTTGGGTTAACAATACCTTTAAGTAAATTTTCAGTGTTTTTACACTGAATTAAATCACTAACAATTATGAACCAACTACAAAATCTATCAAAAGCCACAAAAGAAAATAACAAAAAATGGAAAAGTTAACCATTATGCCAAAATTGACGCATTTTTAAAAATTATGGCCAGGTGTAGAGGTGCATGCATGTAATCCCAGCTGCTTGGGAGGCGGAGGCAGGAGGATCACGAGTTCCAAGCCAGCCTCAGTAATTTAGCAAGATACTAAGCAACTCAGTGAGACCCTGTCTCCAATAAAATATAAAATAAGGCTAAGGATGTGGCTCAGTGGTTGAGTGCCCCTGAGTTCAATCCCTGGTACCCACCCCACAAAAAAAAAAAAAGTTATGAACAAGAATGATAATGTTTTCTTTCCAAAAAAAGTATGTTTGTATATTATTTATAATAGAACATTTTACTCAACATTTGCAACATTAAATTGTTGCCTAAATTGGAAGACCACAGAAGTGTTTCAAGTTTATTAAGTATTTGTTTTATCAAAAGATTTTGCTTTAGAAAAAAATCACATTTAGAAAAATAATAGCAACTGTTACTATAAATTTAAACACTGAGTTAAATGCCCTCACTTATTATCTCCATAAATTCTTATGAGATAGGTGCTATTATTTAATTTTAATGAGTGGATAGAGACAAAAGTTTACCTGAGATCTTCACCTAACAGATGATAGAGCCACACTATGAACGCAAATTAGATGATTCCAGACATAAAATTCTTATTTATTTTTGTGATACTGCTTCTCAGCATATTGGAATTATGTCATTGCAAGTTCAGATTGTGAAATTAGGGCTTTACATAAATGGGTCAAATTCAAACTAATCTTAAAAATTATTCAGAGAAGCACCACATTAGGCACTGTCACACTTTCCAAAATTCTAGTACAGAGCCTATTTTTCTTCCATGTTATACTGATAAAAACTGATTGTTATTTCTTTGGTCGAGCACCAAAGTAGTTAGCTTAAATGAAGTAGTTAGCTTGCATGCAAGTACCATGTTGTATAAGAAATAACTACCATTAAACACTAAAATCAGAGTTAGCAGGGCAAGATGCTCACACTTGGAAAAGCATGAGAGACCTGATATTGAGGGAACAGTGAAATTCCTTCTCTCTCTTACACTCTTAGACATAACATAAAAGGAACTTGCTCTTTTTTCTCCATTCCTCTTCCTTTTCTCATCAACAGTTTAAGTTAGTGAAATATACATTTGATGTAGCACCACTAGACTGTTAGTCTGTTTTATGCTGCTATAACAGACTATCACAGTTAGTGAAATATACATTTGATGTAGCACCACTAGACTGTCTTAGTCTGTTTTATGCTGCTATAACAGACTATCACAGAGTAATTTATAATTAACAGAAATTTATTTGGCTTATAATTCTGGGGTTCAGAAAGTTGCATTGGAGGAGCTGGCATGATAAGGTCATTTTGGCATAAGGTAAGGTCCATTTTGCTATGTTATAACATGGTGGCCATCTCGATGAGAGGGAAAAGTGGGGGTGAATGCTCACATGAGAAGGAACCCATAGTTGTGGTAACAACCCCACTCTTAACAATACTAACAGCATTGATCGAGTTATTTTGTGCCTATGGCCTCATCACCACCTATTGTGTCCCACTTCCCAACACTGTTTGGCGGGGGGGTGTTCAAATCATAGCAATTCAATCAATACATAATGGTAGATGGATATATTTATGGTGGATATGCATTTTAAGGGGAGTAACTGTAAGGGAAGTGTCTATCATTGGAGAGGAAGAGCATTTGATATGATGTGGACAGTAAGGGGAAAAGGAATGGGTTTCTATAAAGCTATAGAGTTCATCAGATGTCTGAATCTGTGCACAGACCATTTCTGTGTTCTCTGAATATTTTTAGGATGTTTACCAAGTCCCAGATTGTAGATGTTGATGACTGAGTTTCAGTTGTAATGGCACTTACACGTGAAAAAGTGTAAGTGCCAGCATAATGAGAAAGAAAAAATTAACTGAACTGGGATCAAAGCCAAGGGTAAATGAGCTGCAGTGTAAACCAAGGGTGGGTACTGAAGGAATGTAGAGCATCCCATTATGACAGAGAATGTTTCATTTTAAATTGAAAGGTTGATGAGGTGAACATTTACAGATATCTTAAAGGAAAGATAGTAAAGAAAAAAAGAAAGTTAGCCATAATAGCTCTTTAATGAAGAAAGGGTGTTTTGCCTAAATAAAATTGTGGATATCTCTTCATATCATCATTTCTAACACAGTTCATTCTTTATGGCATGGATCCTTATAAGAAAGTGTGTGACATCAACATTCTGAGTCTCTTGTTCTTAGTTCTTATCTACACCTTCTGCTGTTTTTTTATGTGAAAATTCTATCTTCTTTTCTATTTTATTTAACTGTCTTCACTTCTGAAGTCATTTTAGTTTAACAGTTTCACTGTTACTCAGTGGAAATAAATTACTGTAATTAAAATAATGTTTAGGCATTGTTATAATTATTGAGGAAAAATAGAATAAATGAGGTTCCCAAGAAGACGAAGAAGCTTACATATTGAATTTAGAGCAATCAAAAAATGGGAAAGACAACCATGGCTTTGAATATATTCAGCTCCAAATCAGTTTTTTTTTCCCCCTGAGCTACTTTTGAAAGCTGAAGTTCATGTTTGCCAAAGGAAAACAAATTGACTATTTTGCTTGCCAGTCAGGTTTCCTTTTTTGTTTTCCAGAGATTACAAAGGAAAAAGAGAATTGATATTTTAATAGGGATGGCAAGGTCTGAAAATTAAGAGTATATTTTACTCAACATTACATATCTACCTTAAATAGTTAGTACACGATTGAGAATTTCTCAACATATTTTCCATTTCTTATTTCCTGGAGTCTGAAAAAGGTCCGGGTAGAAAATGTAGCATGTCTATCAAATGGTCCTTTGTCAGCATGTTACTTTAGATATTCTCAAAGACAGATTTTTTTTTTAAATATTAGAGAAAATGTAGTTTTATAGGAAAACAATGACAAGATGTTTAAAAGGATTTTAACCAAATTAGAAAACAGAATTTAAAGTTCTATTTGAGGTTTATTTTTAAATATATTAAAAGGCTACTAGTCTTTAAATTAGCAGAGTTAATTTGTGAAATATGATTATTTATACCTACCTTCTCTCCATACTGATTAAGAATTAAATAAAAAAAAAAAAACTAAACAGTACTTGGGAGTAAACAGTATTCTTCATAGTACTTGTAGATTTTGTCACTGTGTGGATTTCTTTAGACCAAATGAAATTGTCCTGCTAGAAGAAGGGTATTCTCATGATACCATTTCACTGTATTTCAGGAAAACAGTGCATGTGCCTGGTGGATCTGGACCGAGCAAGAGCTGCAGAAGAACATGGTTATTCTGTTCAAGTGATATCCATGGAGCCAGAGAGCTGCTCTCCCAAAAACAACATGATAGTGGGAGTCCCCACTTAGATTGAGATGTTTACATTTGATATTTTGCCATTGGCTCCATGATGAAAGCCCAGTGGCATTCAGGAGGTTCTTGGCATAAGTAGGAAACAGCATTAGCCATCCTGAGCCTATTGTGCTCAGGAAGGAAAGCAACAGGAAAATCTTGGAAGAAAGGCTGCCTGCAAAGCATCACAAATACTCTTACAATGTGCCATCAAGGGCTGGTGGTTTTCATAGTGAGAATCCCCTGACGTCTCAGCTGCCAAAAGAATAATACTCACCATTGAAGGTTTCATTACTGGAATAACAATTTCCTTCTCATTTCACAAGCTTTTCTGATCTTGCCAATGTGATATTTAATTCAAAACAATATACTTGCAGCCTTTATTTTATAATCTTAGATATTTACACACAGAAACTGAGAAACTTTGTGGGGGTTTTGTGTTTTTTTATATTTTTCAAACAATGGTACTTTTATAATTTTGTAAAAATCTAGGAAGGCAAATACAGTATGAGTATTTTTAAGCTGGGGTCAGTTGAACTTATATACATTTAGGATTATCCTTTTAAATAATTGCCCATAAATTACCAAATGTGATCATTTCTGGTTCAAACATTTTGGGTGAAAAGATTCTAAAGTCATTGCAGTAAGTTTCATCTTGTGGGAATATGGAATTTGGACATAAATTCTAATTAATTGGCAAATACATTGATATCTTAATTCAAGTCTATTCATAATAATTTAGGATCCATTATTTTCACAACCCTGGCCTAGATTTTCTGAAGATATGAAGATGAATTGCAAGAAATACAATTTTACCTATGCAAGTAAATCAATTAGAAGGAAATATTGAAGAATGAGTGAAGTTCTTTATGTCAGACCATAATGTATGGTCTTATTGTTTTGTTTAATTCTTGGTAAAAATTATCAAACATAAATTGGGAATGTGAAGAGTGCAGAATATGGAAGCTTATTTGAATAGTTCTGTCTGCCTAAATTCTTTTTCTTCCAGATAACATTTTTAAAGACAGGTTGTAAACTTCTCTTATATGCTGCTATTTATTTAACTTCACATGTCCTAGATTATTCAATTTAAGATTTATTTTATTGTTTTTAATTCCTATATGACATATATCATAAGAGGAAAGAACTTGGATTGTTCATCACTGAGATAAAAATAGGAATAATTTACAATAATATGAATGGGAGAAGGGAGTTTTGTAGCTGATTTCCTCACATAAATTTTAAGGAAAGCACTACTGGCTCTGAGTAATTTAGTCTTTTGTGCCTGTAGCTACAATGCTCCTTTACTGTGGACTTTCTTTTTTAAATCAAGATATCATTTATATACAATATAATAACAAGTTTTTAAGTGTTCCATTTGAAAAGTTTTAACAACTGTATGTAACCACACAATTGCCACCAAAATAAGATGTAGAATATTTCTGTCAGATGTTGCCAAAAATATGTATTGAGAATATTTTTCTAGTCTGTGGACTATTCATTTTCACAATAAAAGTTTTAATTTTTATGAAGCTAGATTTATTTTTTTTCTTTTATGATACATATTTTCTTTATATTCTCTAATAAATTTTATCTACCCTAAGGTCATAAAGATTTCTCCTATTATAAGAACTTTATGATCCCATCTTTTTATATTCTCGTTATCATCTATCCCAAATCATTTTTCACATCAAGAGGTAGGTATATTTTGATGAATAGTTATTTCAGTACCATTTTTAAAAAATCCTTTCCTCTCCCCCATTAAAATGACTTGGTATCTCAGTTGAAAATCTGTGTGTGTGTGTGTGTGTGTGTGTGTGTATGCATATGGATATACGGGTGTGTGTGTGTTTTCTCAATTCTTTTGTTTGTCTTACTAATTTATTGGTTGCAAAAAGTTTATAGTATGTCAGAAAAGCAGGTAGTTAGTCTTCCAACTTAATTTTTCATTCTCTAGATTGTATTTGCTGTTCTAAATCCATTGTATTTCTATATAAACCCTAGAATTAGCTCATCAATTTATTTTTATAATTTTACAAAATTAAAAAAGCTTGCTGGAATTGTTGGTATTCTCTCTTTAGATTAATTTAGGGAAATTCAACATCTAAACAGTTGTTGGATCTAATAACCATGAATATATCATTCAATATATTTAGATTTCTTTTAATTATACTCAGCAATATTTTGTAATTTTCAGTGTAGAAGATTTTTTTAATTCATTATTTAATGGTGTTTAGGCTACTAACTCTGAGCTTTTACATGCTATTCCCACTACTCAGAATAGTCTCCTTTTATCCCTTCTTCTAGTTTAAACTCATTCGTCTTCTGCTGTGATATTTGACCTCCTGAGGTAAGCCTTTCACAATCTCCCTGGACCAATGAACCTGCAATAGCATGTCTACCATGTAGGGCAGTCATCTCCCCATTCCTCCCAAATTATGGAAAATAAAACAAAAAATGCAGGAACCCTATTGTTCTCCCACCGTGCTCTAGGCTTAGCATTCTCCAGCTCTGAGTGCTGTGACTAGAAATAGATACAGGTGAGGTGATTTCTGTATGTAAGCCCTTGCCAAAATTTCTTCCCAGCCAGGCCAAATAAAAGGGATTGAATGCAGGCAACAGGAAGACTGTTGCAAGTGACCTGATCTCACCCCCATTCTTGTCCATCAAAACCAAGGCTGCTCCTCTCTGATATGTGTCTTTCAGGGTTGTAATAACATTAGAAACTAGAGATCAACTTTCTTTGTCTTTGAATCTGACTCAGAAGAACAAGGGAATATTATTAATGATTAAACTACTTTATCTTATTTAGGTATTATTGGAATTACAGTCTTAGGTCATTCATAATAGAAATCAAAACATTTGCAGGGCATGAATGCAAAATTATACATAAATAACAGTAATGAAACAGTCTGATTCTAAAGACTTTGTTTCCCATTTTCATGATTCAAGAAAATTATTAACAGAACTTGCACACACTAAAACTTGTTTTTTTATTGACTTTGATAATAAAATTAGAGATATGGTCCTTAGAGATTGTGTACAATATGTCAAAATGCATTCCACTGCAAAATAAATAAACTTAAAAAAGAACAAGCATTCATAATAAAGAAAGCAATATATTTTTAAATTAAACTTTTTTTAAAGTAATATGGAATTTTAAATAGAATTTTTAAATTACTCAAATAATAGTTGATGTAGTAGAGCTAGAAGGTGTAGCTAAAAAAAAGAAGAATATTTTAAATTCATTGTCTTATACTTGTTTCTTTTTTTTTTTTTTTTTTTTTTGGTGGTGGTGGTACTGGTGGTGGTACCAGAGATTGAAGGTTAAACTCAGACCCTTGTGCATGCTAGGCAAGTGCTCTATCACTGAGCTAAGCTACATCCCCAGCCCCATTATACTTTGTTTTGTTTTTTAGAATTTTTTCATTTTTATTTTTTTGTTGTTGTTGATAGACCTTTATTTTATTCATTTATTTTTATGCGATGCTGAGAATCAAAACCAATGCTTCACACATGCAAGGCAAGTGTTCTACCACTGAGCAACAACCCCAGCCTTATACTTTGTAAAATAAATCTCTATGTATAAAACAAATACTAATACAATACATGGTATTTCCTAGACACTATCCCAAGCCCTTACAAATAATAATTCAATGTTTTAAGTTATTTAATCCTCATAATGATCTTGTGAGCTAGATATTAGCAATCCCATTTTACAGAAAGTAAGGCTACAGTTACACTGTAAAAGCAGACCTAGGTTTAAAACCAGTCAGTAATCAGCAGAACTAATACTCAAATTCGGTCTCTTTTAGCAATCTTTTGAAGCAGTACTGGCTCGTATGAACAATGATAACAAAATCTCAATGCCTTTACAAAAGAAAGATATTTTTCACTAACATGACATATTCATCCAAATTGCTATGACTGTTCCACACTGTCTTCACACCAAGATCTGGCCTGACCAAGCATTGTCTAGGAAACATAGCTGGTCTCCTAGGAGGGGGAAAGTATAGCAAATTACCATCAGGTTATTAAAAATTCAGTTCAGATGTGATAAAAATCACTTTCTTCACTTTGTTGGCTAAAACCCATTACAGAGCCCCTCCTGAGTTTAATGGTTTATAGCTTTATACAATAATATATTGTGCCATCAGCAGCATAGTTGAAGGGGGAAACAAGGCAGTGAGAAAGAAGGAAGTAAAAACAGACCATATTCCAGTTTAGAGACAGATCCTGAATGACACTGATTTGAGATAAAGGATTTTACTGAATCCATCAAAGAGGAGAGCAGGTGCCACCAGCATTTCCTGTTACTGCTCTGGACTTTCACAGCTACCTTTGGAAGAGAATTTTTTTTAAAGTAATTTATTATTATAAAATATTGGAGAAACATTAAATGCAGTTTGAAATTTATATCCTGCCTGACATTAAAATACTTAATCTAGGGAGATCCAAGATGGTGAGACAGAGGGAGGCAACATTCTATGTCGCTCTGTGACCTGGGACTTGATTAGTGAGAATACTGCTTCTCTGCAAGCATATTCCTGCTCCTACACAGGAATCATGGCAAATATGCCTTTCCAGGGTTCCAGGCCCTAGGGTCAGAGTAGGTCTCTCAAATACTCACCCTGGAAGCACTACCAGATACCAAGCAGAACCATCAACACCCACGCAGAACTCTTGGCCACCCACCAGAGCAGAAATCACGGATGCCCCTCCCACACAGGACACCCAGCAGCTTCTCACATGCAGGAATTCTGGCTGCCACTCCTGTGTGAACCCCCATATAACAATGTGGGGCTCCTCTAGTCGCCACCATCTTGGGACTCTGCAGCAGCAGAGATAGTCCCCTATGCACACTAGCCTGCCTACACCAGGTAACTTCACACAGGCTCTGAAGTCAGCAGACAGCAACACAATGCATGCCACAGAGCTTGTCTCTGAACTCATCCTCCAACGCCATCACTCAGTTTCCCCCACCTGACACAATACCCCACCACTGAAAGAAGGCGCCTCCATCTTGGGTCACCTTTATCACCGTCTTTATTGGGGGCAACTCCCAGTTTGGAAGTCTGACTGGCCAGGTACCCAGTTTCTAACTTCCCCCTCTCCCCAGCAGCTGCTAGACCGGTACTGTGACTCCCTGGTTGCCTCCACCATTCTAAGCAAAGAGATATCAGCTAACAACAGAGGTCCCCATCTATTGGATAAGAAGGAAAGCAAGAAAGATACAGAACTCCAACCAATCTTGTTTCTTCCTTCAAGATTTTTTTCCTCTTCCCCTCTATTCTCTTGCCCTCACAATCCCCAACATATGTGAAACCATGAATTAGGATTTTGAGGACTGGGACTTTTGAATAGCATATTACAGTAGTGTTGTATATTCTTTTTATTTCATTTTATTATTTTTTTCTTTTTCCCACCAATTTCTACTATTTTAACATTTTTTAATTTGTTTTAATATATACGTGTGTTTGTTTTATGTTTTCTGCTGTCTTCCAACTTACTTGTCTACCCAAAATTACTTCCTCTCCCTTCTCCTACTACTAATTTTCCTCTTTAGATTTCTCCTTCACACTTCCTAAGATATAACAACTCTATATCCTCACCTCCTACCTCCTCAGCATATCATCCTACTCCTCTTCCCCAGTTCTTTGTCCACCACCAGAAACAGTAAACCCTTTTACAATCCTACTGAGTATATTATAGATAATTATTGAGTTCACCATTTCTGTACATTGTGACCAAACTGTAAACGTCTTATTAGCAAACATTTGGTTTTAGGGTGTACTTTGTTTATATTGGGATATGATAACATTGTCCTTTACTTCACAGGAGAGGTATTGGATCCCTACAGGGGTACTATAAGCCTATAGGGTAAAAACAGTAAGGATTAGGATCCACAGTGTTAGAAGAGAAGACACACATGCAATATGAAAAGACAAGGGAAGAAAATACCCCAAACAAATCAAGATATACATTATTAGAATCCATGGCCAGCACAGCAGAAGAAATGACAGAGAAGGAGTTCAGAATGTACATAATTAAAATGTTCTGTGAATTAAAGGATGATGTAAGAGAGTAAATACAGGCAGCAAGAGATCATTTTGACAAAGAGCTAAATAAACAAATATAGGAAGCAAAAGATTAATAGGGAGATAGAGATTCTAAAAAACAAAACAAAAATCCTTGAAACAATAAACCAAATTAAAAGTTAAATTGAAAGCATCACCAGCAGACCACTTGGAAGACAGGACCTCAGACAATGAAGACAAAATATAAAATCTTTAAAAGAATGTAGAGCATACAGTGAAAATTATAAGAAACCATGAGCAGAACATTCAAGAAATATGAGATATCATAAAAACACCAAATTTAAGAATTATTGGGATAGAGGAAAGAATAGAATTCCAAATCAAAGGAATGAGCAAATTGTTCAATGAAATAATATCAGAAAATTTTCCAAACATGAAGAATGAATTGGAAAACCAAATTCAAGAGGCTTACAGGACAACAAATGTACAAAATC